CTCCAACCTTTATACCTGGTGGTCATACTCAATTTAAAATTGTTTTCCTATATACTTCTGTAAACTTGTTGACAAATATCTGTTTTTTATTGGGTCACCCGTATCAACAGTTTAGGATTTGCATACATAATTTATTGTTTTTTTACTCTCTCATACATAAAAATACACTATAAAATTAATCGAAAATCATTGGTGTATGTTATAAAAATATGAAAAGAAATATGAAAACTAATCCTATGTTAAACATACCACTTTGTTTTTCGCAAAATTTTAGTGAACTTTCCAAACTCAGATAACACGGTCCTATGTAGTATATAGAAATATATTTTCTGATTAATACAGCTTAGTAGCAGTGAAAAAAGTATGTTTATTTTTAAGCCAACTAAAATAAGTATTTCCACAGCGAAAAAGAAAAGGAAAAAATGCCCAAAATCAATAACAAATACAGGTTTGCAAACAGATTTACTGCGGAACACTAGGTATAAGTCAAAAATCTATATACACCGTTTCAAAAATTCTACAGAAACGAACACAATTCGTCAAAGTGTTCAGGGAAAGCATAGAAAAAAGTTGCATCAGATTAATACTGCCAATCTTGTTAGAGAACATATTAATATGTTCCATGTTAATAGAAAGCCATTATTGTAGGGCTGATACTAAAAGAAAATATGTAGAGGGTGACCTATCACTGTAAAATTTGTACAATATGTACGAGGATTCCATAAAGGAGAAATACTTGACTCTAGTAACACTTAATGTTTATCGCAAAATATTTTGCACTGAATTCAATTATTCATTTAATAAACCTTCAAAAGTTCTATGTGACCTCTGTGCTGAAATAGACTGCCTGAAGAAAGAAAACACCCTTAATGGAGAAAAGAAAAAGGAATATGAAAAACACCCCCAAGAAAAATTTTAATGAGCGAAGCGAAAATGGATATTAAAAATAATAACGTCAGTGCAGACATGAATGGATTACAATGCATTTTAAATGCCATTGATACAGTGGGAAGAGAGTTTGGCCTAAACATAAACTGTTCAAAAACAAAACACATGGTGTTTAGCCGTTTAGCACATCAAGATGCACGATTATATGTTGATGGTCATATAATTCAAAGAGTGTCCAGTTTTAAATATCTTGGTTGCCATATTACTGAACAACTAGATCCAGATCACGAGATAAAATGTAGAATCGAGATAGCCCGCACGACATTTTTAAAAATAGAGGTCATTTTTCTGTAACGATAACTTGCAACTTCAACTTCGAAAGCGCATGGTTAAATGCTACATTTGGTCAGTCCTCTTATACGGTGTCGAAGCATGGACATTAAAAATATCCACCATTAATCGTCTGGAGGCCTTTGAAATGTGGCTGCACAGACGTATACTAAAAATTCATGGACGGCTATGCTAGACAAATGTGGCAGTCCTTGAGAGAGCAAATGCTGCTCGCGAGCTGCTTGATAACATCAAATGTAGAAAGATGACCTATTTTGGACACGTAGTAAGGGAGACCGATATAATATTCTTCAACTTATTATGATGGGTAAAATCGAAGGATGCAGAGGAATTGGTAGAAAGTGGACAGGAATAAAGAAAGCTGAGCAACTATTTGGAATAGCTCGAGACAGAGACAGTTTCGCCATGTTAATCTCCAACGTCAAGGGGACTTGATAGGGCACGTTAAGAAGAAGAACGCAGTACTGTGTTTTAACTTACAAAATGTATTGACATGTCCAAAAAGAGTCGTCAAAAATTTCTTTTATACAAGTAAGCTAAATGTATATAACATGACGGCGCACCTTTCCATAAACCAGACTGTTTATGGCGCAATTTGGTCAGAGGCAATGCATGGTTGGGCTAGAATAGAAATGATATTGCCAGTGCTGTATACAAAATCCTGAAAAGGGTTGTAGAAGACTGTCCGTTATTGGAGGTTTTGACTTTGTGGAGCGATAGTTGCGTTCCGCAAAATCGCAGTAAATTTATGCTATTGCACATATTTTAAAAACTAATACGAACTTAACGAAAATTCAAATGACATTTTCAGTACCTGGACATTCCTGCATACAAGAGGTTGATCCAGTTCAGTTCAGTGCAATTGAACGTAGTTTGAGAAAATCTGAATACTTTTCTCCACTTTCGTGATTAAGAGTGCTTTTGAAAGTAAACACAAGAAAGCCTTACACCATACTTCAAATGAAAGAGCCAGATTTTCTAGATTTTTTAACCTATGATCACTGATTATGAGCATTTCAAGGTGGTTTCTTTATAATTTACTACAGATTTTTATGACGTCGGTACTACTAACGAACGTGAATACAAAATCATCACTTTAAGACAACGGAATGCAAGAAGACATACTGCTGAAAATGACGAAATACCCATGTCAATAAACAAAAAGATGTTAAAGTCACCTTGGCATAAAACAAGGTGGAAGCTCCGAAATCTATGTACAAGTGGATGCCAGATGTAGACAGAAACTTTATGTTCACAATGTTTTTCACATGTCTCAACATAAACTGCTATCTTAGCAGGCTACCTAGAAGGTCAAGTTCGTTCTTTATGTCTCCAATAGTTAGCATCTGATGTGAAAGAATGCATATACAAATTGAAAAATTCCTCATTTGTTGACTTACATATGGTTTTAACAGTAAAATTATTAAGGAATCGCTTGATTACAATTGTTGAACCACTCACAATAATATTTAACAAATGTATTAACGAGGGTTACTGGCCTGATGTATTCAAAATATCAAAAGTAATTCCACTTAAAAAATGAAATAAAAATGCTCCAGACAATTACAGACCTATTACCATAGTACCAACAATAAGTAAAATTTTTGAAATCTTAATTAAAGATCGTATAAGCAAATTATTTGGATAACAAATCAATTATATCTAGCTCTCAATTTGGATTTAGAAAAAAAATACTCAACACTAAAGCTTTATTAGAAGTAATAGAATATATTGTTAACGGTTTTGATGCAAGTGTAACCTACTAATGGTTTAATATGTGACCTTACAAAAGTTTTTGATTGTATGGATATTCAAACACTATTGATAAATTGGAGTACTATGGAATACGGGGTATCATACATGACCTTTTAAAATCCTATCTTACAGGAAGAACACAGATTGTTGCATTTAATAATCAAGATCTGATCCTTTACCAGTTTCAATCGGAGTACACAAGGATCAGTTTTGGGACCTCTGCTATTCTTGATATATATAAATGATTTACCAAGTGCATTGAATAACACCAACTGGTTCTTTTTGCAGATGACACAACCTTATTATGTAGAGGTAAAACTGATTACAGTCAGAAAATATTAGAAAATCTAAATCCTGGTTAACTGTAACAAACTTAAGTTAAACGAGCAGTAAACCTAGACAATAGTTATTTAGCTCTGATAGATGGGTTACACCACTGAACCAGTAAAGTTAGTAGGTGTTACTATGGATAAAAGGTTGAACTGGTCGCACCATATTGAACGATTGTGTAAGAGGCTCACCTCACAGATTTTTACTATGCGCAGATTGGCTACTTCTGTGAGTCGAGATATTCTTAGGTCAGTTTATTTTGAAATGGTTCATAGTATTATGACATATTGCATACTTCTTTGGGGAAACTCGTTCTATGCATATAAAGTTTTCACTTTTCAAAAAGCAGCAATCCGAATGATTGACTCAGTAGAATATCGCGCCAGCTGTAAACCCTTGTTTAAAAAGTATGGCATTCTTCCTTTACCTTCAATATATATATTTGAAACTTTGTTAACTGTTCATAATAATATACAAGATGTAAAAACACATGCTGATCAACATCATTACAATACAAGAAATAAAAGTCATATCATTATACCATATTCGAGATTGTGTGTTACACAACTTATAACCTGTAATTGTTTTTTAAACCTAAACAAAAATATTGATATTAAGTCAATCAATTCTAAACAATTTTATAAACTAGCAAAACACTTCCTGCTGAAACACTGTTTCTATAGTATACAGGAATTTGTTTGTTGAGCTCCTAGTGTGGTCGTTTTTTATGAAAACTATATTACGCCTTACTGAATTGTTTCTTTTTTTTATAATTTTATATATCTAATTTTCATGTATACGTTTTATTATGTGTTCTTGTATTATTTCTTAGTTCTTAGTATACTAAAAGTGACTTATTTTTATTATGACATGACATGTAGTGTTTACTATGTAAAAATTGAATAAAGATAGAAATTCTATCTATCTATCTATCTAAACACTTCAACTGAGATTGCTGATCAGAAGATAATGTTACAAAGACTTATGTTTAATGTTTTTGCATTTTTTCGTTTTTTAATGTCACGAAGTTCTATGCTATTTTATTTTTCCAATAAAAATATGGAAAACAATTTAATATTTTTTATTCCTTTTTTGAATGTGCTTTTATAGTAGACTTTTATCTATTATTTTTAAAACAAAAGCAAGTATACTTTCTTGTATACCAAATCTAATGGTCAAAATATTCAAAGTCATTTTTCTGTTTCTACATTTTATATCATACAACCTTGTAATTCTTAGGCAGCGTAATATCAAAAGATAATTCGTTGAACGTGCTTATTTAATGCTTATATGAATATGTTAAACTAACCAAAAATAGTGAACATTTTCAGAATATAGTTACATTAACTTTAATATAGGTATGTAAAAGTGATTTCTATGAAAAAATTCTTTTAGTTTACAATAGAATAGTTAAATATCCAAACTAATAAAGATATCTAACAAAAAACACAACATTTTGAGAAAATTGGAGTCGGCAAAATCATATTCCAAAGAATTTTCACATCTCCAATACCTATTCTGACCTATATCGCTTAGAGACTGAAGAATCTATCACTGAAAGACGCGTATACTGATAAAGCAACTACAAAACATTCAGTTGTCTACAAAACAAGATTTTGCTTGCTTCTCTTTGTATATTTATTAAACTGATATCTAAATCCTATTCTAATTTTCAGGATGGATACTCACATTATGGCAAGGACGGACAAAAGTGTCTAAGGTAATTGAAGAATTAATATGTTTTTGGAAGAGAAGCCTCTATACTGGCGTTGTATTACTTTGTCACAAAAGTAGCGTCACGAAATAGTTGGAAGAGTCCATTTACGCGAAGAGGGTCCGATATACAACTTGTAAACTTTTTTAATCCTAAAAATTATATAACAAGGACATTAATTAACAGCGGTTTTATGTACTTATGAAATGTACAAACAGTTGTTAAGATAAATAAATCAAATAATAAAATTACTTTATTCAATTTTAAAAATATTATTTAAAATTTCCAAATAGAGAAAACACAGTATGAAGCTTCGCGCTAGTCTACAGTAATGCCTACTCTATCATTTTTTTTTATTTTTAAATATTTTTTATGATTTGTTTCTAGGTCCACATTCTTAAAGTCAGCCTTTGAAGACCCCTATTGGTTTGGGATATTCGCTTCGATATTATTTGCCATATGGGCAATAACTGCCCTGCTGTAAGTATTTATTCAACAATATCAATAACGATTCATATTATAAGTAAATTCGGCTTTACACTTATGGTTACGTAATCAATAACTGAGAATGTTAAGTAAAATTATATTATTACCATCAGGAATATTTTTGTCATTAGTATTAAAATGTGGAGCTAAGAGCTAAGGACTATTTGAAAAATTACAATGAATGACGAAATACAACAAGAAAGACTAACAAAAGAACGGGAACTCAGACTACCAGAGAGATAACCGAAGAAGTAATGTGAAGATTGAACGATCACTAACTCTTGTAGTTTGACAAACCCCCGTTAATTGCGAGTGTTTTGTATAAAACTTAAGAGGTCGCTGGTAAATGATATTAGATAAATAATAATGAAGAAAAAAATGCAATATTTTGTTTGTAAATAAATTAGCGGAAAATAGCAATTATCAATTGTGAATAAATTACGAAATTAACTGGTCTTACTCATTATTGTTGTCTGTACAAAGAATATAGACTTATCCCTTGAAATATTGATGTCGTAAGATTCTTAGCCAGGGAAATCTCGTTGGCACCACGTCGGGACGCCCGCCCGGGCTTCGATGGATGGTTGTGTTTCGTTCGCTGTCTTGAAGTAAAGTACGTTGAGATGGTCAGAACTAAGGAACCCTCTAACGTTACATGGTGGTCCAAGAGGGTGTACCAATAAATCATTCTATTGTATTGCGACTTTGAGTGGCGATAATTTAAGTTAATTGTCACGGTAATACGAAACTTTACACTTGTATATATTGGCGACACAAAATAACAAAAAAAGTAAAATTCTCCGTACTTAAAACATAATAAATGAGATAACCAGTTTAACAAGAAGCAATATATTTTAATAAAGTCGTTAGAATACAGCATTAAATTAGATCACATTAGACTACAGTAACAGAAAATATTAAATGAAAAAATATGAAAAGAATTCGTACATACTTTCCCAAACAGCGAGTGACTCATTAGACTGTAAGTACATTTTGACCGGTATACTCTGTTTTCACAGTACACTGAGTCTTTCCTGAGGTGTTCTATTTGGTAGTCCCTTAGATGAAGTTGCGTCTTGATTTAAGGCGACGGACAATAGTACCTACTGTAATTACGCATTGAGGGCCTCTGTTGTCTCTTTTTTTCTGTATATTTCAGCCTTCACTTTTCTTCTTACATATGGAGATGCTACGCCAGCTGTGTATAAAGACTGGACAGGAGTAGTTTCAAACAGCCAGTAACAGATCTTTACCAGGGCTGAGGCCCCCATAATGAAGAAGCAAACTCACCTGCCGTCAAACCAAGTACAAAAGCTGAGTTTTTCTACACTTGTGGCTGCACAACAGGTTGAGTTCGCCATCGTACGGTTACTCACATAAAATCTTTCGTGTCATCTGCATAAATATATCTTCTGGTGACATTGAGCTGGTCATTGGAGTAAATATAAATAATAGAGGAGATACAGCACTCTTGAGGCATACCGTTCTTTTGCTTTCTACCTTAGGTTCTGTTGTGTAACATACACTTGATTATGCTTGTAAGTTAAGAGTATTTAGTAAATTACTCAGTCTTAACTAGTAATTTGTCGATAGTTGACAGTATCATAAGCTGTAGAGAAACCTATGAAGACACCTTCAGTTACTACTCGTTTTTCAAATTTCAAGAAAGATTACAGCTCTGTTGGTAATTTCACTAGTGGGACTACGTGGTCTTACTACTACTTTAGTAATAGGTCTAAGTTATTCATAGGCCCAAAACTATTAATCTGTTCTACTTTAATGTTGCGTGCACCAGCAACTTTGTTTTATTTCATGTGTTGGATAGCTGTTTGCAGTTCTTCAGGGAGGAATGAATGTGATGAAGAAGTTTTCTCCGGTCAAAAATTCTTGTCTTTTCTCTCTCTTGTTTTCTTATTTTTAGTCTTACCATTTAAGCAGTACCTATTTGCTCTAAATTATCATTAAGAGTTCTGGAGATGATGCAGCAGTATCTTTACTTATGTTTGGTAAATTTTTCTTTTCTACCCTCAGCTATGCATCTCGTAAGGTCTTCGCCAGTCTGAATTGTGTTATAAGAGAATGGATCTATCTCATACTTAGCCTGGTACTCGTTGAGTAGGTTGTGGCATAATCGGTGAGTCCTAAAAAAACTGAATGTGATAACTCGAGGTATATGCCTCCGTAACAATATCTTCATGATGTTGACAAATCCTTCATAGCTGCGTAGATAGAATGCTTCTTGCTCACCTCTTCATCCAGTCTTTAGTACAAGTGTTACACTTAGAGTTTTTGAAATTAAAGTGTGTAGAAAGAAAATTGTCAACGAATACAAAAGACAAAAAATGATACACAAAAAAGAAAGATATGTGTTACCAACATACCCGAAAAGTAATAAATTAGGTAAACTAAATGAAGAAATAAAAAATTCCCACCTATGCCTTTCAGGAGATTTAGATTTCAAAGAAAATAACTTATTGTTAAAATACATTAAGAACTGGTATATTCTTTTATTTTAATTACTTTGCATCGATACTTTGATTCTTATAATAATTAATATGTTGATTTATTTTAGGACAATAAGCAAGACAAAAAGCTTTATCAGATCACTAGTTTTATTAATTTTCCCCACTTTAGCTTGTCTCATAGCGCTCTTTGTGAAGTCAATGATGTATGATTCTGAATTAATATACTTTTATACCAAAGCGACTGGAGTTTACTGGAAAGTGCTAATGTAAGTATTTTTGTATATTTAAAAATATAAAAAGGAAACATATCTACGTTCCTAACAGTGCGTCTGATGAGGGAGGGCTGCGGGGAACCCTTCCTAGAAAAAAGCTTGTACATACAATTAATTGTATTTCTTATTTTCATATAATCACATTTTCTCTTAAAATTTATTCACTTTTCTGTTGAACCTTTCTTTAAAATATATTTACCCAAACAAACTAATTCTATATTAATGCGTTTGTTTTAAGTGACCGCACTTATTCTGGGCTTATTTCATAATTTATCTCGATAAAGGCATACGGTTACGATGGAAACGACACGCAATTACTAATCTTGATGAAAAAATTGCACTACAGATACCTAATTAATCGACAAACAGCAAATTATCAATACGTCTTGTCAAAAATTATAGATATTTTGAAGTTGTGCGGCAAATGCGGTCTTGCACTATATGGTCATGAGTCTAAAGAGTCGATTAATAGGGTGTGTTTTTTAACTAGTTGATTACATTAAAAAATATGGATTCCACACTATTCTATTATTTAGTCTATTCAGTTAAAAAAGCAACAAACTTTAAGTGAAATAAAATGACACTTAATTTCTTGCATTAATGATAGGACAATCCGACAGAAGTTTGTACACAAACTCAGGCGCTATTAGTCCTTCATTACTTTTTGTCGAAAAAATACTTGAGCGATTTTGGGGTTTTTCAAATCTGGAAGAGTCAGCTACTGTTGGGATATCGACCTGCGTTTTTAAACCAAATTAATCCTATTTTAAAAGATTTGTCAGATAAATTAATTGCACGACAGTGTTCCTGTATAACTTGTGGATAGATACTGGGCTAATGTTAAAATCAGAGAAAATTAGAATAATGCGCATTATATATTATTGTTTACGCGCACCAATTTAACAAATTATTGGAAAATGCGATGTCAAGGTACTCATAGTGTGTGTATATTTTTTTGGTTACCAAAAGCGGTATATTAGCATTTTTTAATTCTCGGGAGAGAATACACAGCGTTAAAGCACAAAATAAATAGCAATCAGAATGGCCCCACTCTCAGATAGCGCCTTTGAAGTCTGTCAGACGCAAACGCCATGTTTTAGACGGAAACATAGACTTGATTGAGAAATTTGTGACAAGCTACGACAGAACTGTAATTTAAAATTTTAGAGATTAAATAATTTAGTACATTTGAAATAATTTAATCTATTCTTAAACTAAAAGTACGAATAGAATAGTGCATGTTGTGTCTATAGTTGCCGTAAACAAATTAAACCGGTTAATTTTTATATACGACACCAGATAAAATGTCACTGAACAGTACTGGTTCCGTTTAAAACATGGCCTATTCCGTCTGCTCTAACGAAGATGCGCGTACTTATTTTTTCAAGCCGAGTGGCATTCTGATTGTTTATTATTCTATGGTTAACGCAAGTGATGAATAAACAAATTGAAAAACCATCGCAAACACGATGGAATTTTCATTCTAGAGCGATACAAACTGTATTTGAAAATCGAGTACAGCATCCTGGAATGTTTTGAAAATATTGAGTCAGGAAATCCTCAAATATATCACACGGAGACCATAGTTCAAGTCGCTGGTTTAGTTAAACGTTTAATGATTGTATATTCCAGTTATGCTATTGATAGTTTTAGTTTCATGTTAAGAATTAGGCTTTTGTTAAGTACCTATTGATTTTTGGTATTCACGAATCAGCGTACGGCCACTGTAAAGAGGCATTTAATATGTATATTAACATGGATTAACATAGAGTATTAACAGTAGTCTGTGTGTAATACGTCATGTATATTAATGTTGAAAATACTTTCTTTTAAGGTATGGTATTATGCAGCTATTCAAGTATTTTTTTCGTCCACTGTTGGTTTTGGTTCATTTGTTCAAATGCAGGGATCATTTACAATAAAGTCAATCCATGTTTGGTAAGTAACAAAGTTCCTTTTTAAGAAATCGTATACAGGAAAGTTATTTATTGCAAGACACTGGTTTTTTGTAATGTTTTTACTCGCTCAATGTTGAATTCTTTATTTCATGTAAGCAGAAGCTATCCAGTGGCGGTCTAAAGGGGGGGGGCGATCGCCCCCCCCCCCCAGACACCTTAATTTTCTGAAAGATTGAGAAGTTAATATACATATTAATCAGAAATGTGAGATCGAACTAATGCATTGCTATTATTGGACAAAATAATCTAACAGTGTGAAAACGTCCGTAGACAGATTATTTTAATAGCCTACGGTTAGTTTTGATATAACGTAACAAACAAGCGTTTACCTAGAAATTCTCAGCGGTCGTCCCGACACAGGAGCGCGTGCGCCAAAACCATTTGCAATTTAAACCTCGACAATTTGTCGACAATCTTCTTCAGTCAGACGTTGCTTGCTAGCCTTGCTAGTTGCTACGCTACATATTCAATTTTATTACTTATAACCTAATAAAACTATTACAATGTATAATGTGAACCTCCTTTTTTCCATTCTAATAGACTACATTTGTATTGTATATTTATTGTAAATTTTAACATTTTAAAAGGTAAAATGTTTTTGAGCTCTTTCAATTCAAGCGTAAACTAACATTGTCAGACCAAACCTCTGAAGTTTGACGTTTGTTCGTGATAACGTAAAACCACCTAAATCGTCAAAGGTTTAGAAAGATGAGACTTGCTTCAGAGGCTTGCCATTGAAAAATACTATCACCCACAAACCTTTTCTATTAGACTTTGAGTTGTTTTCAATAGTTCTAAATTGGTTTTTGATACAATCACAAGAATACAAAATATATTTTGAATATTTTATTTGTAAGTTAGCCGAACAATATTTACAACAAGCTTTAGAGGCTAGCTTTTTTATTTTTTATTATAGTGTAAAACTGTTCCACTGATACTAATTGTAATAATAATAAGTGATTTTCTTTTTCTCCGTTCGTCACAACCACTAAGTGACAGTCAGTCCATATTCGGTCCATCAACTGTTCAAATGAATAAAATGCCTTTAAAACTCTCAAAATCTTGCCATACTTTTTACAAATTTCCGGACCCCCTTCCGGATGCGGGCTGCATCCCCAGACCCCCCTGCAACAGACCATCGCCCCTCCCAAAATCTGACTCTGAGACCGCCACTGAAGCAGCAGGGCCGAACTTGCGAAAAAAAAACGCACACAACCTTAATTATAAACAGAAGCGCCAGGTCTGGCTAAGTTTTTTAAATCAAACTTTCTCCCGTCCCTTATACCTCCGTTATATTCTGTTCTACTCCCAGGAACTCCAATAATTTGTTAAAAAGTGTGAATTATTTTCCAACTGATTCTACAGGCAAATCTACTCGTTCAATAAATTTGAGAAAAACATAGTAATTCGTAATAAATGGTAACAGTTCATAAATATATAGAAGAAGAATCTGGCTACATATTGACATAATTAATTATACATAAAATATAAAGTTATACATTCCATGGTATGAGTGAATAGATTCCTTGAAGCAAAAGGTGCTTTTCAGGATTATTTTAGTTATATAGAGCTTTCCTGTATCTGATATCTTATAGTATTTAATATAAAAAGAATAACTGAGAACGTACTGAGTACTAACTAAGAGTACTGAGAAAGTACTGGACCTGAGGATGGGGCATTATTGTAAGCTTTGAACGGTAGCCCAAAATTTACCATCATTAAATAATACAATCTACTTCAGAGTATTGACTCAAGCTTTTAATAACTTAATAATTGTAATATAAATATCTTTTATTTGTTTTATGTCATACTAGTTTATTATTGTGTTTTTTATGGCTTAGTTACCAACTACGTATTAGTGTACTTTAGTATGTACTTTATGGCCCGCGCAGTTTCACTAATAATGGTTCTACATGGTTTTCTGTCATTCAGTGCTGTAATTTTCATATTACCACCTCGTTTTTATATTGCGGTTCAATCGACTTGCTAGAGCTTTCACGATATCTGATAAATCTTAGTACTACTGTGGTTTACTCCGTCTCTCTCTGTGAGTGATCAAACTGGGTGCAAGGCATCTTCAGGTATAGGGTCTGGTCTAAAGGGATAAATACCGGTGGCTGCAAAACCGAGATAATGTTTAATGGTGTCATATGCTTTTAACCAAACTGGAGTAAAAATTTCTCCAAACCTCATTACGGTAATCGCCTTCAGGGTTTGTTGTTAAAAACTGTAGTACCTCTTGGTCCCAAATGTCTCAAAGCTTTTTAAAACGCTGATTTGTCCATAGTTGCAATTCGTGTGACGTGTTGCTAGGAATGCAAAATAAAGTTATGTTCATATGGTTAGCTGCCTCCACTATGAAAATATCTAGATGACTTTTAGCTCCAATCAAATATATAGGGTAGACTAGGCTTTCTTAATGAAGAGAAATGGTCAAGACAGAAAACAAATACTTCGCAGTCATACTATCCTTATTTGGTGACAATAGCTTTTGAGCCAGGGGCAAGTCCATCAGACCATTCAGGTTTAAATATTTGGCTTTTAAAAAGTACAAAAGGTCATAACAGGTTACGGTAAGTCTTTGACTTCGATTGTGTCTATTATGTCTAGATCGATTTCCATTTCTCTCCGAATACTTCGTTTCTCACCCTATCAAGTCTAGTCAGCTGGCAACATCGTCTCAGTAGTTCATTTCCATAGGCCTTTAATTTGTGATTTGTTTCTTTGGTTATATTCTCCAGAGTTTCGGCACCGTACAGCCAATACTTTTCTATTATTGTTTTATAAATTCATCTTTTATTTTTCTTTTGATATTTTTTTGTTCCGCGTAAATAGTCCCGTGTAGCTGTCTGGTGGCTAGATCTTGCTTGGCCAATCCTGGAATGTATTATCTTCGCTACTTCCTGCTTTTGATTTTAATTTTGGACTCCCAAGTATTTAAATTGTCTGTTGGTTTATAGAGTTTCCCATATTCGATTTGTAGGCTTCTGGTTTCTCTCCCACAACTAAGTAATCTCTCTCGTCTTCAGCTAGAATGGCTTGGTCGTCAGCGAAGTATATCGTGTACAATCTATCATCTCCGATCGGATGCCCATATCACAGCACTATCTCTCCACAGTGAGATTGCCTCATTTAGATATATTTTTGAGAGTGTAGGTGCTATGCAGCAGCCTTGCTTTATCCTTACTAATAGGAATTTCTCTAGTTAATCTATTTCCAGTTTTAATGTTTGCCGTCATTGTAGAGCTTGTGTACTGCTCGTATATTTTTTTTTGCTTATTCCTTGTTTTTCCATTGCTAACCCAAAGCATTGAAAGTGGTACACTATCGTATGCCTTTGGGTCAGATCTAATAAAGACTATATGAGTTGAAAAGGTTGTGGGCTAATCTTTTCTAGATAACTTGCTTTAGAGAGAATATAATGACAATGACAGGATTTGCCCTGCACGAAAGCCATTATGTTCTACATCTGTCACCTCTTTCTTTCAATTTTATTTTTTCAAGACTGTATGGAAAAATTATAAAAAATAAAAAAATAAAAAAATATATATACAAATATAAATAAAATAGAAAATATCTGTACATTTTTAAAAATAAACAGTACTAATACTATTTAGAAATACTCGTAAATTAAACATAAATGAATTTCTGTTGCATTTTTGGCGGATAATCTTTCAGACCATCTACAACTTCTTGAAATTAACCACTATACTACAAGGAAGACAACCTCTGTTTGTGCACTTACTGGAAGTTTTCAGAAAAAATTGAACTTTTTCCGAGGATATTAAATCCGTTTGTGAGAGTAAATAACGATCTGGGTGGAACGTGTTAAGAACAGTTTTTTTCTCATCCGCAAGCCTACTGGTGTAGTGAACCAGCGAAGCCGCCCGACGACATTACACAGTCCACAAATTAATTAAGAACAAAAATCGGCGGAAAAACCAATAGCTTTATAACTCATGCATTTTTTGCCTTGAGTTATTCCATAGCCCTCCTTAAAACGCGGGTGACCTAGTGTGCCTGGTTTTCAAAGAGGTTACAACTCCATGGTGATATCACCCTTCCCCCGGATAAGCCACTGCCTGGTTTAGTGCGCAAGTGTAAGGACCGCGAAAGTGTAGTAAGGTTTTCGAAACCCGGACGCTCAGGGAATATAATAGGTGCATCCCGGACTATATAGGGAATTTATTCATAGTATATTCTACATTGGAATATTTCCTATTTCACGGGTGAAACTAGATGCAGTCGCCTAGGTTCTAAATTAAAAAGCAAATTTCCACGTTTAAAATTTAACTTGCCTTTATCTGACAGGAGTAACTTTAAAATGTACCTTCAAGTAAGATTTCACTCATCTCCCAAAATGCTTAATCTATTAAAAATACCTTTTTTGTTTTAGGACTGCTATTGGATATTGTACAATAAACATTATTTTTGGTATTGGTTCGACTATTATCTCCCAATCTTTAGCACATCACACAAATGTAAATATAACAGCAAATAAGGATGACATAGCAGAACTGATGCTAGTCTCCGTCATTTACGATATTGGTAGTGCAAGTACTGCCGCTGACAAAAAATTATGGATAATTGTTATATTTACTTTATTTATATTATCTGGATTTATAACTATGGTAAGTTTTAACTATTAAAGTCATTTATTGTTACTTTTTACAAAAGCACAAAAACTTCTAATTCCACTTTTGTTAATTATGACGGACGAATGAAATTGTTCTCCGTTCTCACAGGAAAAAAAGTGAAAAGTTTCGCTGCAATGATAATTTATCCTAACCTTGTACTTCAAACCCGTATATATTTTTAACCAAAAAGACATCAACATTCTCGCAATTGCAAATGTTAAGGGGGGTAGGGTTTATTTTTCAATATTTTAAATATTTTAATAGATTTTTTTGGAAAATTCTTTAATATAAATTTATTTATAACTATTAGTACAATAATAGACAAGACATTTCAAGATTATTATCTGAAATTTTGTTACAAAACTATTAAAAATTACAGAAAAGGACAGCTTAATTTTCCAAGTGAAAAAAAAAGTTACTTTACGGTGTTCATCGTCACCGTAACTTACAACTGGATAATCTGTTGACAAAAACAACAAGAAGATTTTCTTAGTTTATGAGTTTCCCTAGGTCGCAACGTTAAGATATTTTTCATTTTATTGGTTTTTCAAATTTTAGAGGTAAAAAGACGAATTTTTTTAATTTTCGAAATGTTTTGGTTAAAATTTGAATAATTTGATGTAATATTAATTATAACAACAAAATGGAGAATATTTCAACTTCGCAACCTAGTAATTTATCTATAAAAGATGTGTGCAACATTTGAGAAGGACCAATCAAGTAGTTTTTGAGATACAGTGAACACCGACTTGAAAAAAAATATCCTGAGAAAAATGCGTTAATAAAAAAAATTATTGTTTTTATATTCACACAGTATCGTGTATTTCACGCTAATATAGCAACGTGCTTCCTGCTAAAATATTAGAGCATCTTTTTGCTCTGCTTTCTACGAACTATGTCTTTTTTTGTTGCATCTGCAGCCATTATATCCGCACTAGTAATTCGATTATTATCTGCTGCGAGTGAATAATTTCAAACACTACAAGCTCACTCACCTCTCTCACTCACTTCACTCACTCACTCACCTCACTCACTCACTCACTTACCTCATTCATTCACTCACCTCGATCACTCACCTCACTCATTCACCTCACTCACTCACCTCATTCACTCACCTCACTCACTCACCTCAATCACTCACCTCACTCATAAATATCATCAATTTTGCTTCGATCACTCTGAAATTTTAACTGGATACTCTTGAAGAGTTATATTATGGAATAAAAAATATAAAAAACGCAAAATAAAACCCTACCTTCCCCCTTATGAAATTTATAATGATACGCAGTGTGCACAAAAAATATCTACAATTTAAATGTTATTTTTAGTATATTGTTAATGTGTAAATGGAATGTTGCAGGGAATATTTTAAACATTACTCTAAATCTAAATATGAATTATTATTTTAGGCAACAATGACCTATACATTACTGAAAGCCATAACTGTCGGAAGTAGAGCAAGACTGAGTTGGTGGCAAGCCAGTATTCTTCTAAGTGCTTCTGGATTTATCTTCGGATGCGCAATTTTACTTAAAGAAGACTTTGACATCGTTCATCTACTAGATCACTACATCGTCGGAAATCTCATCCTGATAACAGCAATTTTAGAAGTATTAACATTACTAGCATTTTATGGTAAGGAAATATGTATTTTCTTTTTTAGTTTTTTACTAAAATTTTGTGTGATAAATATTTGCTTTAGTTAATTTTAGGTTGTTATAGCAATATTAAAAAATCGAACAACAGCAATTGTCAA